GCAGTTACAACACACATAGGGCGCACCGCACCAAAGGGCGCACCGCACATTTTGAGGGGAAAAAAAGTCGTTTAAGTGCGCCTTATAGTCGCGAAAATACGGTAGTTAGATTACTTGTTACTAAAACAAGGTAACGGCGTTAGTAACGCTGTTACTTTCAACGCTGTTAGTCCCATCACTGTTTATAGACAGTAACTAAATTTATGCAAAAAGATTACCACATCCCAAGACAGATTTGAAATAAAAAAAGTCATTCAAGTAGGTGCTGCACAGAAGACAGGACCAAGAGAGGAGATATTGGATACACATTGTGTCCTTGTACTTATTACCTTCCACTTATCCTGGACAAGATCATGGGGACAGAATTCTCAGCAGAGACTTCCAGACTTCCCTCTCCCCAAAAAAATCCTCTAGCTCTGGGTGAAGCCTGAGGCACTCCTAGGCCTGCTGAGAGAAAGGCACCCTCCAGCAACCCCTCTGCTGCTCCAGATTTCATGACCATAGGTGAGGGTAGGAATGTAGAATAACCAGTAAATTCAGAGCTTTGCCTTTTTGCTCTGCTCTGTTTTCACCGAATATATAGCAGGGGTTGCACCATTCTGCCCTCACTCTTGAACAAGAGTCCAAGATACTTGAACTCCTCCACTTCAGATAGGACCTCTCCTCCAACCAAAACAGGGGAAGCCACATTTTATCAGGTTGAAAACCATGGCATTGGTCTTGGAGAAGCTGATTCTCTTCCTGCCCGCTTCACATTCAGCTCTGTTATGCATTGTGTGCTGTATGGTGTTATATAGACAAGTGTTGGCCTTTAAAAATCAAGTCCAATCAGTTTAGTTAAACACAACTGCACTCCATGGAAGGAGAAGAACCACTCAAGGAGGATCAGAAGAAACGGACAGCATGAGTTAAATATGAGTGTCCACAGCAAAGGGTATGAATACTTAAGGCCATTTGATATTTCAGTTTTTCTTTTTTAATAAATTTAAAATTTTTCTAAGTTTCTTTTTTTTTCTGTAAAGATGGGGTGCTGAGAGTACATTAATAAGAAATACAATTAACTCTCTTGATTTTAGCAAAGGGCTGCAATGAAACAAAGAGTGAAGATTTTAAAGGGGTCTTAATAGTTTCTATACCTGCTGTAGCTGCAGAAGAACGACTGCGCACTGGCCTCTGGTCATCTCCCACAACATTGTTGATGTTTCCTCCTACAATACCTTTTTAAATTGGAGAGAGATCTGACCTGATCTGACTGAACCTGACCCTGATGTTTTGTAAGCAGAATAAGAGGAGGGTGTTCCTGGAGCAGCTAGGAAAGGCCCGTGTAACTCCACTCATTGAAAGAAGGAATCATGTCCCCCAACACAAAAGCCTCAGCAGCAGATGATAAAGATATTCAGAGAGCAGGGACTCCTGATTAACCCAAGGATCCATATATCCCAGCCACTCCACCAGCTAAGGCAAGTAAGAGGAAGAGATGTCAGTTCTGCCCTCAAAAGGAGGACTGTAAAAAACATTCTCTGTGCTGCAGGTAAAAAATGCTGCATATCTGCAAAGGATATACAGCATACAGCAAGGATATATTTTTTCATGATAGCACTCGTGCGCGCCTTATCATGAGAGAGGGGAGGATGAGATTGGCTGATGTAGAGTGAGATTACGTCTGTCAGTTGGGTAGATGGGTGTTTCCGCTGGCGGGTGTTAACG